CAGTGGGACAAGACGCTGATGTTGGCACCTGCCAGAGGGAGACAGCCGAAGTCGCAGCTGTGCTGGTCAAATGAGCCTGGAGACCTGAGGGGGCTAGGACCTCAATGACTGTTAGCAGGCTGTGGTTCTCCGCAGGCAGTTTATTGAAATGGGGTTTGTGTGTCTTCCCACCCCTCCAGGCTGGATCCCAGAACAATCAGAAGTGCAGGTGGCACATCTCACTGAACGACCCCAGGCTACCTCCGGGGGTGGGGGGGAGGAGAAGCTCATCAGAGAGCCCCTGGAGCAACAAAGAGATGCCTGGCGAGGATGAGCAGAAGAGACATCCAAAGGCTGAGAAGAGGGAGCTTCTTGCATGGATGAACTTCCTACTTGGGGATTAACATCACCATCAGATCACCTGACTCCTGAGAGAGGCTCCTCTGTCTTTAAAAAGCCAGGGTTATATGTAAAACGGGAGTCTGGCAGAACAAGAGTTAATCTGGGTAGGACTAATTTTAGAGTGATTAGGATGAAAAATCGATGGGAAGGGACCCTGTTAAATACTTAAGTGATAAAGAACAGGGGGGCTGGGCATCAGTTATCAACACGGAAGAGAACATAATCAGCCCAGGTCTTCAGACAACCTTCCTTGTGAAACGAAAGAAATGTCCCACTAAATACATCCCAGGATGAAGCCAGTGGCAAAACCCATAGACCTAAAGCCTCTGCAGTGAGAATGTATTCATATGTATAGTCCTCCCGAAAAATTCTCGACAACAGGCTTAGAACAAACGGTCACTTGGAATGAAGAGCTGTGTCAAAGTCAAGAAGGGTCAGATACATACATGAGATGCCTATCTTAGGGATAAGAGAAACACGTAGCTTCTAAGGGTTTAAAACTGAATTCTCAGCTGTTTTGTATTTTTAGAATTTCTAAAAAGAAATTTCTATGTCATCCAGATATTAGCTCCAGCTTGCTTTCACAAAGGCGCTGCCGTCTAATTCAAGGGACTCTGGCTATTTTGTTAGGACAAGGTTCCTATGTGGACCAGTAAGGAAGCCCAGCGGACCGCATGATCCATTCACCCATGGCACTCGGCCTCGTGTTGCACCTTCGTTGTACTTTCTCTCTCCAAACTCCCTGAGTTCAGGGCAAACGCGCCTTCTGTCATCTCTGTGCCCACGCCGTTGGTAATTCCCGCCCATCTGTTGCCATTGCTTTTTGGTCTTTCTTGAGAAGATAGGTCTCACATGGTCTCATTTGCTTTATCAAAGAGCAGAAGCAACAAAGATCACAGGGGTATGAATCCAGGAGATCAAGAACAGTGTTGAAAGAGAATCAGAAAATGTGAACTCACTTAAGCAGCCCTTTTCTGGTCTACAGTTTATTGACTCCGAGAAGTCATGCGTGTCTGACCACATGAATGAAAACTTACTTTCCAAATGACAGCTCCTCCAAAGCCACGATTTTGTAAATAGTAACAAGAGAATTACATTTTTTGCTAGATTCTAAGGAATTTGCTAATTAGACAAACTTTCACTGCCCTTCTATCTCTTTTCCCCACTAGCACTTTACACGGACTCAAAAACGCTTCTGCTCTGCTCCCTTCCTAGTTCAGCCGATGGAGTGTTTGGGAGCATCTAATTTGAAGTACAAAGGGACAGGTGGGTGACAGGATGCAGCTGGAGGGGACCCGTTCTTGGGGCGTACGCATGATAGGAACGGTCTTCATACAGACCAAATCAAAGGCCGCGGCAACTCCAGAGAAACACTGTCCCACATTTGACTAACTCGAAGACAGTTTCTAAGACACTTTTTACTGCAGGATAAAGAATTGTTAAATAGTTTTATTTTATTTTTTTTTCAATGAAAACCACACTCCTATCACACTCTGGATACAGTTCGCTATACTTAATAAAAAATAATCTATGTAATTCTCAACTTACACTCTAGGGACTTGAAACAACTCAGCTATGGAAAAATAAACATCGAAGTGGCATTCTGAATCCTTCTCTTTATTGTGCGCTGCTTTTTCCTTCATGTGCTCTATTAAACATACACTCATACACTCAAACATACATTGGTCAAAGATATTCAACATCACAGTGGAATGAATGTGCTTCCAATCAATTTGGCAATATCGCCCTCCTTTTGGGTTCTCTTAAATAAGCAGGGCGTGGCTAGACTCGAGGTGAGAGGCGTGGTCTGCACGGACGTAAGTTACTATTTTTGTTTGGTCAAAATCAACGACAAAGAGATGCTTTCTGCAAGAGGCCCAGACCTCAGCCGACAGCCCTTGCATTTGGTGCTACCCTAATTGCAGGGACAGAGGGACAGGAAGTAATCACTTTTGCTTTCAGCGCTGCACAAGGAAGTCAAAGATTTGAGTCACTTGCCTGCTTTAGTCCTGGGACAAATGATGGTGGTGTTTCAGGTCCACGGTGTTCAACTGAGAATCACACCGGACAGCAGAAACATTTGCTCGGCAGCATTTTGTAAGAATCTCTCTAACATGGTGTCATTGAACATCCTTCCCCCTGTTTATTGAATCAGCAATGTATTTTCAAATTTAGAATTTGGTAACTCTAATATGCTTCTCTCTGTGAAGAAAAATGAGATCTTTGTTGGTGATAGATGAGGCTTTCCAAAATTTAATTTATGTGTTGCACATCCCCGTGTTCTTCACTGAAGGCTACCCTTGTTAGCTCTGATAACTCGCACTTCCTCTTCGGTCATCTGAAGCTAATTACAGCTGCTGTTCACCGCAGAAGTAATCAATAGCTTTCTATAGTAGACCGCATAGAATCAGACCCATATACAATTAGTCCAATGTAGATACACAAAGATACCTTAATTAAAACAAAATACGCTCTGTAAGAGATATGCTTTCATAGATGACTGGAATTCCAAATATTTCGACACATTTAATGTGTTTATTCAAAGTCAGAGTCTTTATGAAACCTTTCACGACTCAAATCTGTTTGATGAATTTCCCTTGAAAACAGTTTGAACTGAAAAAACTCAGTACTTGGTATTATACATTTATGTTTATTAACATTTGGATATAAATGTACTTCAAACACCAATAAGAGCTAAGAGACTATGCCTTTATCTTGGATCGAACAGATTTCCCACCCCAGTGATTTGATTAATTCTTACAAGGCAAACATCAGCGGGCAAAGGGGATCAGTATGAACTGTGCACCTTGAGTTCCTCCTCCAGCCCCCCTACTGATGTGGGAGAGATAATGCTCCCAGCACTCTCTTCAGGTGGAATCTCCTCTTCTCTACTCAGTGTTGGAGAAGCATGGCTCCTAGCACTCGATCATTGCAGATTCGGAACGTCGCCATCAACCAGACTTTGAAAGTGCACTTCAGGGTCTACTTGTTTAAGGATGAGAATGATGGAAAATGATGTGCAGTGAACAAGCCAGATGCCTTGTATCCAGAGTCCTGTTCCCTATATCTTTACCAGCCAACTCTTCTCCACAGACCTATCATTGGTCCTCCTGATCCACAGCCTTCTTTCTTTCCCACACAGTCTGTCAGAGTCTGTCATGGAGGACACACAACATAACAAGATGCAAGTAGGGTCCTGATGACCTTCTGACCAAATCACTCTAACCAGCGGCGAGGTCATCACCATTGAGAGTCAAGACAACCCTCAGGAAAAGACCTGGGTAGGCTGGCAAGGATCTGCTTCAGAAGAGAGGGCAGCAGGTCCCTGCCCTCCGTCCCAGCCAAACCAGTCTCTGTCAAGTCACATGAAAACCAAGGTACTGGATTGTGTCAACTGTCACAGGTGCCATCAGATTTTGCAGGGCATTGACAAATGGCCACCAGTTTCCTCACGGGAATGCACGCTTGCATGTCAAGAAATGATAAAGGACAACACCTGGCTGTTCTGTTTCCTCCTGCCTGTCCGCAGTAATGGGGTGCAGAGCTTTCTGCTAAAGCACAGACTCGTCCCAGTCTGCTTTTGAAGAGCTGTCTTCGTGAAGTTAGCATCGGAGCGAACACCACTTACGAGAGGGAAACGAGCTCCCTGTATTTTGTATTAAATCATCAGTAAAAAATGAAGACAGTATCAGTACTTTCAAAATATAGAAAGCCAATAGTTGAAATCATTTGGTAGTAAAATTTTTTTCCTACATATAACTTCATACGTGTAAAGAGTATTAGAGTGACATATCGGCTATATTGGACTCCTGTTAGTTAAAGGGCTTCTCGCTCAGGGAAGGCTTAGGAGAGTGTCGTTCAACAATCAAGGTACTGCAAACGTTCATGCACACTCGCCTCCCCCCACTCCCCTCCGCCACACTGACTAGAAGACAGACACTACGTTTGGATGCGACAGGTGTCTTTTGTTTGGTAAGAGAGTGTAGAACTGTTTGTAGTACACAATGTGGAAAATGTTAGTACATATAGAAAAGGTGAACATTGATGCAAGCTGGTTTGCACAAAGTCCATCAAGATCCCCTTGATGAGGATCTTTGCTTTGTGACAAAAAAAAAAAAAAAAAAATCCCACCAAAACCTGCACCCATGTTAGGCTAAAATGATGTCATTAGAAACCAGCCATTATGTGACTCTGGGAGATTCTTTAGCAATACTAACTTCTTTCTCTTGCTAGTAACGGCCAGAGTTAAATTGTTAAAATCATCGACATCATCATGTAAAACATGGGCCCAGTTTGTTAGACAGCCAACTTTACAAACTCCCCCTTTACGACACAGCATGCCCCAAAGCCTTTTGAATTTGGAATGTAGCACAGCATCAGGTATCCCATAGAAGCCCTAAGGTTCACAAGATTTCTTAAAAAAAAAAAAAAAAAAAAGGAAGAAAGGAAAAAGAAAAGAAAGAAAGAAAAAGTTCCAGTTGAATGAAACTGTTTTCCCAGTGTCTCAACTGAGCTCCTAAAACTGGAATTTCAGATATACAAGAGGACAGGAAACAGATAGCTTGGTTTTTTGTCTTTTTACATGTCCGCATTGTTTTTTTTTTTTTTTTTAAATGCAGCTACGATGTTTCTGCCAAAGATAAAGACAAAAAGGTGGACAGGGCGGTTACCACCAGAACCAGAAGCGGGCTCAGACCACACGTTGGAGGAGCAGCCATTGATTTTGTGGTTATGTGGCTGGAAGCACCAGCAAGGCCGTTCTTTTCGTAATCACGCTGTAAGAGAGAATATTTTCATTATCACCCACTACGTGTCTTCCTTCCATCCCAGCATATTTAAACCACACTCTTTCTCTCTCCCGCCCCCGCCTCCCACTGGCTGCACCACTCACTAAAGCTGATCCAAGGTGTTACCACATACGGAGACTTCAATTCACTGACTTGTACTCAGGAAGGAATCCTGAATCTGGGTTAGAATCGGATGCCTTAGGATAAAACGGACAACACCTGCTTCTTGCCCCTCTGCTATGGATTAATGAAATCCTCTTGTGGGACAGCGCGGAGCCTTCATTCACTCCTGCCTCCTGGGTCTGCCAGTAGCTGTGCAAATGGAACCTTCTCCTTCTGGTACCCGTGGGCCCTTCCCAGCGTGGAAGAAGGGCACGAAGAATCATCTTAGAAAAGATACTGGCCCAGGCAAGTATCAGTTCATGTGGAGATGGGCCACAAAGTGCCTTGAGACCGGCAGAGCAGTTGGCAATGTTTCTCTCCATTTGCCCGCCCAACCCTAGGTTTTCCGGATAAAGGGGCCTGCCTTGATTGTCAGGTGGAAAGCCCACACCAGAACTCAGGCTTTCTGGCCCCAGTCAGCACAGCTGTGCCAAGACGGATGACTCCGTCTCCACCACAGCACCCACTCAGTCCCAGAATGCCACATCCCAGCGATCGGCACACTACAGAATCTTCGTCTCATCTGGAAAACAGGGAGAGTAATGTGGCCTGCCTGAGCCATCTCTGGGTTGCTGCAGAGGTCAAAGGGACTGTGCACAGAGTAAGCAGGGGGATTTGTTGTCTGTCTTGTCCCGTGCCGGCTGATTTTACGCGACTCTGGTCACGTAGTCTCCGGGCACCGGAACGACGGCATCCATGCTGGGTCCAGCTCCGAGATGACGCTCCTGGGTGCCACACTTACTCCTAACTTTGTGGCCTGGGATCCGCAGACTGCACTTGGCACCAAGGCCAGAGGGACATGAAAGGGGCCAGAGATCTTTTTCTGGACCTGAAACCTTGTTGCCTTTGAGCCTTGACATCATCACCCGCCTTTATATCATCACCAGGGGCCCAAAGGCTCCGTCTCTAGAAAGGCAGGGAGACCCAGAGAGAAACAGAACTTACATCAGAAAGACAGAGGTGCGTGCTGCCCGATACATTGGATTTCAGCTTCTGTGCCTGAAGAAAAACAAGCACACACACACATAAAATCACTCATATACAGTATGGAATAACAATTACTGATGATCCAGTCAGTTTTCTAGGGCAAGGCCATTGACAGAAATATGTGAGCCACAACGTTGAGCCTATATATAATTTAAAGTTTTCCGGTAACCACGTAGGTAAAGAGATAAAGGTGAGGATAACTGTAATAATATATCTTATTTGACCCAATATATTATCATTTCAACACGTAATCAATATATAAAGTTATTAATGGGATACTTTACATCTTTTTTTCATACGAAGTCTTCAAAATCGGGTATGATTGACCTAGCACATCTATTTCAGACCTGCCCCATTTCGAAGGCTCATTAGCTACTTGTGGCCCCTAGTGGAAACGGCACAAGACTAGGTTACTAAAGGCAAAGTTTTGAAGTCCTTCATATTGGGAACTCATTTATATCTCTAAATATTAATTTTCAGCATGTGCCCTCGAGGGAAAAACGTGGCAATAAAAATTCCCATTCGTTGGTAATATAGAGATACGTCTCCCCGCAGCTTATCTACTTGTTTATTCTTCGCTTCAGTCAACAAACAAAAGCGTATGGTCCCCGGGCTCCCAGGGCTGCTCTCTAGTTGAGTCAACCGCTCACTGCTTGCGAGTGGCGGCACAGGGCAGAGACTCTTAGAGATGGGTCCCCTGGAGGGACAGTGCAGGGCATCACAGATCCCGATGCAGCACTCCTAAAACTGCTTCCAGGGCAGTGGGGAGGGGGCTGAGCCCTGAAGGCATTTAAGCTCCCTGTCGCCTCGCACTGGAGAAAGTCCCCACTGAGCTTCCACCAGAGAACTGAGTTGAAGGAAACGTTCCAGCGCTCAGTTACAATGCGAACTGCAGACCCAGTACAGCCCTTCTGTTTTATAAAGGAAAACAGAGTGCAGTGAAGTTAAGTGACTGTCCCAAGGTCACAGAGCAGTTTACTGGTAGAGACAGGATACAGACCAGGTGTCTAAAACTCTCGAAAGCAAATGTGCTCTTTCTTCCATTACAGTGTTTCTCCCAGGCAATCCTGGCATGCTTGATTCTTCATGTTCTACCTGCCTCCAAATCCACATGAAGACCCCTTCCCATGCCCCCTTCCCCCAGAATAGGAATCTGTTGGCACCAAAGACAGAGAGCTCATGTGCCAACAGGATGACCGTGGTTAAGCACCGCACCTGAATCAAGCAGTGTCTGGGCAATCAGCTCTGAGTGAATGATGCTGGTGGGCTGCCTGTTGTAGGAAGACTTTTGCAACTCCTTGAAGACATGCTAGGCTGATGATGGCACGTTCACCCAAGGAGTAATTTACTGACCATAATGCTACTTGAAAGGCATCATAATCTTTACCTATATTTGCATATGCCAGCTGTGAATATGAAATAGAAACCTTTAAACAGGCATCAAGAATAAGACACTGTGAGGCATCCCCAGGCTGTTCAAAGGTCACAAAATGTTATATATAAGAAGATCAGAGGAGAAATTGAAAGAGCAATTGAACCTTACTCAAAAGCCTACTTGTAATCTGTAGTAATAGCAAATCTGGTCCATTGCACTGTCACCTGCAGAGAATAATGTACAGAACTTTACATGTTTTATTTCTGTTCAAGATTGGAATTGTGCCCAGATACCAAAATGGTCTTAAAACATCACATTTTCTTTTTTCCTTGCCTGTGCATAATCTACAAAAGACACAAACCCTTGCTAAGGGCCTTTGCATAACTAAGAAGTTCACTAAAATGTACAGAGAAAGCAGCCCGACTTCTAGTCTGGAGCACATTATGCCTTCAAGTTGTTGCTGTGCTGTATCATAGCTACACTATGCCTCAGTGTCCAAAACCACAGCCCTCTAAGTTCTGAGGGTCAGGTGGGTCTCCTTCCTACCTTGTTCCGTATGATTAGCACCAGTAAGTAGCACTGTACTCATTATATGTACACGCTGAGATGCCCATTAGCTACACTTAGTCATTTCAGGAACCTCTTGAAATACTACCATAATGCCCATTGTTATTAAGTGCAGTAAAACCTTGGATTGCGAGTAACTTGTTCTGCGAGTGTTCCACAAGACAAGCAAACATTTCTAATAAACTTTAACCTGATACGTGAGTGATGTCTTGCAGTACGAGTAGTACATGACGCCGATGTCACATGGTCGCAACTGAGCCAATGGTTCTTGAAGTTCGCTTTGACGTATGAGTGCTTCGGATTGCAAGCATGTTTCTGGAATGAATTATGTTCACAAACCAAGGCTGTACTGTTTTCGTAAAGGCACTTCTGCCAATGGATAAGAAAAAGTCTTCTGTCTTAACAGATTTTCATAGGTGGACTCTGGATCTGCCTACGTAGATTTCTGACCTTCACTCGTCATTGAGGGTTTCACACTGCGTACAGGCTTATAGGTTTGCAGGCTCTTGCCTTACATCTAGAAATAGCTGGGATAACGGGTCAATCACACAGGAAAATGCATTCAGACTAGCTCCAGGTCTATGAAGCCTCTGCGCTCTTCTTTTCCCAAAGTGGACATTTTGTTGGTCTCTATCTAAAGGAAAGGTCAACGTGAGGTCTGGTCACCCTGCAGCACCACTGACTTCACTGAAAGTGGAGGGAGCATCTCAAAGCTTATCTTGCCTTGAAGACCATTCTTGTTGGCATAACTGGGTAACCTTCAGAGTAAAAGTAATAATGTGCACCCAGACCACTGCAGATGCTCTGAGAAAACGCCTTCTTTCCCGTTAAGCACCTACCCAGCCCACAGAAAGACTTAGCACTCCAGAGGCTTAGAAGTGCACCCACACAGGCCTTCAGATACTCTGCTTACATCGTATATGAACACAGCTTCCCACTGAGAGGTATGGGTGGAAACTCCCAGCACTGCAGAGGCTGAGCTGAACAGCCCTGGAGTTCTACCTGAACCTCATGTGGACCGCAGGAAAGTCTAGGAGTCTGATTACAAGGTGAAGCACAAATGTTACCATTATTGGAATAGCAGGTGGCATCCGAGTAACAGAATCGAAAGATTGCACGTAGACATAGGGTTTG